TGCCCTTGAAAATATTTTGAAGCTTAGTTTGACATTAAAAACAATTGAGGACTGTCATTTGCCAAACATTTCTATTCACTTATAGGCTAAGGCGATATTAGAATATAATAAATTCATAATTATGAATAAGAAAATATAATGTCTACATTATTAATGCCGAAAAGCAGCTGAGATGTGCCATAATTAAATAATATAATATGCAAATAATATAACATATGCTTTGACAGTCTGCGCATGCGTCTGACGCGCACGACGAATCGTGTTCTCAACTGCGCGTGGTTTGCTTTTGCTTGCAATAATTTTGTTTGCGCACTTTGCGAACAGATTCGCCATACGAATTCGCGCAAAGGAGCGAGCCCATAAGTGATTGCGCTCAAACATATTCAATTTGCAGTCGTTTTGCCTTACTATACTAAGTCACAATACAAAAAAAATATTTAGAAGTTTCATTGTGTCAAAAATCATATGTTTGTCATTGGGTACGGAATATTTACTCAATGGAGCGCTTTCGGGTCTGAAATTTTTACTGTTTTTCCATTCGTTTGGAATTTTGGAACTAGGTTCATCTTACTCTTCAGAAGTGAAAGCAATTTAGACTCCTTTACCACTTCTCGGGTGGATGACATTTCTTTTCAGTGGTGTAATTTTACTTTTTTCAAAATAACGTTGGGTATCGATAAAAGAACTAATTATACGAGAAAAATATTTAATAATGTTTTTCAAAAAAGAAATACTTTTCAAGTTACTGGCTACTGAATATTTTTGCTAATACCTTCAAAAATACATTTTAACGAAAATCATGTAATGAGCACAATTATATCAATTAAAATCTTAATAAATCGTTATTTTTATAGTGTTTTAGGAACATTATTAGGCTAGATATGAAATTGGGTTTTTATAGTGCTCAAAATAAGCTTTAAAATGAGTACTTCTGCGTGTAAAATGAGTGAGCTATCATGCAGATAAAGGACGCATGCAATGTTTTTTTTTTCATTTAAATCAAATACTTTGAGTGCCATATCCACCAAAATTAAAAATAATCGTATTCAATCTAGAATTAACTTGTTTTAAGAGATCTTGATGGATTCTAGAAAATACCACAACTTTAGTACAATGATTCTCAAAAACTCATGATTTCATGAAAAAAAAACATTTAAAAAAAACAACCAATTTCTCATCATAATACCTCTGAAAGAATACGTATAAAAGTATATATATATGAAATTCGAGGTATTTTTCTGACTAATTATTGTTGTTTATTATTTTTTCGTTACACAAATATTGATAGATGTATGATTAATTAGGAGCTTTCCAACCAGAGGTCTTTCGAGCCCTTTAACCCTTCGCCGTTTTACAATAAGAGAAGTTACGGTAAAATTAATGATAGAGAAAGTTGTAGCTTATTTAATCACCTTTAAAATAGTGTATTACAAGTTCTGATAAAATCAGAATTAAAAAAGTAATAATCCAATTAATGCGGTGGATGGTGACGGAGTGCAAATTGTTTCACTTCTGAACTTAAGATAAAGATTAGCCTATTTCCAAAATATCAAGTAAATTGGAGCACAGTAAAAAAATTCACAGAGCAATAATTTGTTGATCGTAAGTTGAATAGAGCACATGTGAACAGGATTTGACAAATTAATTCACTTCAAATATAAACTTAAGCAATAACGTATATTGATTTATTGGAGAAAAAATGTAGTTTAGATATTAAAATTACTAAAAGCCAGTTAAAATATGGTACGAAATTATAAAAATTATAGGCAACATTATTGAAGCATATATCTTGGGTAGAAAAATAAAAGGTGATATTGCACCTTTGCCGCGAATGCTATATATTAATTCTTTCTGAATTTGTTGTACTTTTTAAAGATTTCAATTTTCAACACGTGTATCTTATGCTATAACCATAAATCACAAAGGCAGACGATTATTTTTAGTGTGATAAATTTGGAAAATCAATGTTTTTAGTCGTGAATAATCAAAAAATCATTCATTTATACATCCACATCTACAGGTATGACTAAAAATACTATATAACCCTTAAATGCAATAAAATAAATTGAGCTATTGGAAATAAATTTGTTCTGTAAATCGCAGTGTATAATTTTTAATATACAATTTTATTGAACATTTTTTAATATTTGTTAATTGAATAATTAAAGTGTGGGAATTGAGAACAATCATTTTATTTGAAACAGTTCTACATTCAACATCACTCATATATTGGTGTAAATAGTAATTCAAAAAACAGTAATTATTATTTTTAACTAAGCAGTAAATATTAGTATAAAATATTGAAAAATTGTAGGGATGGGTACAGAACAACGTCTGTCGGGTCAGCTAGTATATATATATATTTCTTTCTGAGTTTCTTTTCTGAACAATAAATCCAATAATTAAAGAATAACTTGTCTGTTGGAGATAATTAATTACGTCGTTTCGAAACTAGATAAGGTTTTTCGGTCAAAAACAATTTTTTATATAGACTATCCTTATTAATACTGATTATTACACAATATTAAGAAAATATATAAAGGAATGGATTATGCACCAGAAGAAAGTAAGGAAAAATAGAAAGAAATAAGAAAAATTTATAAAATTGGGAAGCAAAAATTATTTACCTGCAATGATCTATAAATCCATATCACTATTTTTTCATTATTCTTTAAATCCTCGTTAAAAACACTCGTAAAAAATCCCTAAAGAATATTTTAAAATTTTGACTTTACTCGAAAAATTTTCTCGAAAAAAAATAGTGATATGGATTTTTAGATCAATATCGCATGTACATACATTTTGCTACTCAAATTTATAAATTTCTTTTACTTTTTTATGATACATAATCCTTTCTTTTTTTCTGAATATTTTGTAATCATCATTAATAGTGTTAGTCTATATGAATAATTGTTTGACAGAATAACCTGTTGATAACATATCTAGTTCTGAAACGTCGTAATTGAACATCTCTAAAAAAACAAATCGTTATATAACGATTTTTATTGATCTAACACCCGACTTTTTAACTCAAACTAAACATATATATCAACATCAAATTCAAGACTATTCAAATATATATATATATATATATATATATATATATATATATATTTGAATTTCTATATATATATATATATATATATATACACACACATATATATCAGACGTTTCGGAGAGACGAAGCAAACAGTGCAGAAATTAGAAATAAAGTTTTTGAGATGGCGGAGCATCCGATTTGAATTATCCAAAAAACGTTCAATTCGTAATGATGGGGAAAAGTGATGATTAGTTTTTGGCAAAAACAGGTCCAGCCGTTTCAGACATACGGAGCTAATTTTGCAAAATTGCAGATTTTGAGAGAAATAAGCATCCGATTAGAATGATTGTGTTGTCAAATTCTGCTTTTGTTGACGAAATGATTACTTTTGGGAAAACATTTTTTTTTTACTTTTTTTACTAGATCTCCGAAACCGCTAAAGTCGGACGCTCCGTTCTCTTAAAAACGGCAATCAGGTACGACCGATGCGCCAAGAAACTCCACACGGCTTTAAAAATTAATTTTTAAATTCGAAAAGCGTGCTATTTTGGTTGGATTCAAATTATAGTTTATGTGGTATTGTATAAAATTATTATTTACCGACCGGTGATCAAAATGAAAAATCACGCAATAACGTACTATCCAGGTATAGTGTACATTTGCCTTGTGTGTATATATAAATATATATATATATATATATATATATATATATATATATAAACAACCAAGTTTCAGCTATTGTTATTTGTAAGTAGGCAATTTAGTTGTCAGTCAGTTTAGTTGTAGTTTTCAAGAAAGAAAATCAAATCAAAAATTTTTGACATATTTTGCTTTTTTACTTCTGTCTAGGACAAAAAGATCTTCGCTTCTTAAAACGTTATGAGCTGTTTATAGTGACAAAGCTTTGAAAAAATGACTGTCAAAATATCTCTGCTAAATTACATTTCTTTGATTTTCTACACGAAGATGAAACAGGCTCTGGTCGTCCAATTAAAGTTAATTACGAAATAATTGCCCATTTTTATTCTTAGCACGTAACCGAACTATCAATTCTGAGGTCTATATTGAACAACTAATGAAATTAAACAACGCAGTTGAAGACTTTGGCCACTCGACAAACATTAGAGCTTGGATGCGATGTTTTGCCACATCCACTATTAACCATATTACCATCTAGTCTTAAACGTACATCTTCTTATGCTTCTGGTTTTCATCTTTATCAAACAAATGGTAAACAAATTAATGATTAAGTATGATGCTTACAAATTGTCCCTGAGATTAAGTTTTTTTTTAATAAAATCTTGATGTTTTATAAAAGTGGTAAACTTAATATAAAAGGGGTAATGAGGTTAGGGGGCGTCCATTAATCACGTGAGGTTTTTAGGGGGAGGGGGGGGGGTTTGACAAAAAATCACGAAATATCACATAAGGGAGGGAGGGGTATAGTAAGATATCACGTGTATTTATTTTTATACTGTTAAATCAAACATCTTCAAAAAAAAATTACTTCATTCAAAAATTTTTACAGTTTTTTCACGTAACTAAAAATACACGTAATGTTTGGTTGGGGATGTGGGGTAATTTTGAATATCACCATGTATCACCAACGGAGAGGGGGGGTCCAAAAATACTTAAAAACTCGCTCACGTGATTAATGGATGCCCCCTTACTTGAAAGATGACAAAAAGTCATTGATCAAAATGAACAATGCATTACAGAATAAAGTTATTCAGTTATATAAAAAATGTTTTTGAAAAACTTACGCACTTACTTAGTTGCGAACCTAATATATTTGTATATATATATATACATATATATATATATATATATATATATATATATATATATGTAAATTTGGTGTTGATAATAAAACGACTGGCAATAGCACTAATTGTAAGTTATATATATATATATATATATATATATATATTATATGCATGTATGTATGTATCATATAAACCTTTAGAAATGGGATGATCTGCCAATGTGTACATTTTCATGGCCATAGCAAAATCTTCCAAATTATTTAGAAACTCACAAAAATCTTTGAATTCCTGTAAATCAGAAAAAACTTAAGTACATATAACTTACTTATATTATTTAAATCTTTAATTTATTTATATTATTCGTTTCGAATAATATCAAATATTCGAATTCGTTTTGTTTATAGTACCAAGTATCAGGAACTAAAAAAGAATTAAAACATCCTAGTTTTATAAAGCATTATAAAAATATTATAGAAATCTCAAAAGAACTCTCGATTATAAAATAGATTGATTTCAAAACAATAATTTCTATATAGTATCTCTACTAATAATTCTCTTTAATATCTACCTGAAATGTAATACCCTGCTGTTGATCTTTTACACGGTCCAACAATCGTTCCAAATACATGTCATAAACATCACCGTCTAATTGTGTATATCGAAGCAAAATTTGAGCGAAGTCTACCTCCGTGATTGTTTCATGACCTTTCGCATATTCTTGATATTCTAATTCCAAAACTTCATATTGCAAATTTTCCATAAATTTTCTAAAACCCTCGTATTGCAAATCATCCTTCCCATGCTTGCCGAAGAAATGAATCTGTTAGAAAAGCATTGAACAAACAATTACTTAGAAATTCATTAATATATATTAATTATTATTAATATATTAATATATTAATTATTATTATTAATATATATATATATATATATATTATAAATAATTAATTATATATATATATATATATATATATTATATTCATTTATATATATATATATATATATACTAGCTGACCCGGCAAACGTTGTTTTGCTAAGTAAGGTATATTCTAAACAATTTCTAGAGAATCAAAAATATTAATACTTTAAGTGTATAAGAATGTGTTGTTTGAATGCTATATACAATGAGGTATTATAAAAACAAAAAACCCCATTAGTTTGTCTATATTTTGTCAATACAATCAAACTGGAAATTTTATACACTTTCTATAGAAAACATGGTATAATCCAATCCAAGTCTTTTTTGGTCTTTCGACTTATTGATTACGTTTCAAGTTTTTCAGATTATTTTTGGATTCTGGATTTTGTGTATAATTGTAAATAATGCTACTGAGCTTATACAAAATTTTCAAATTTCTGCGAAGAGAGATAGAAAATGAATTAAGTATTTCTTCTTTGACCTGCTTTTCTTTACATCAGTCTTTAAACAATTTGTTAACTAGACTTTTTACCCCGGGTAACTTGGAACGGCCAGGTGCCAAACAGCTTTAATGTCTTATTTTAATTTTAAAGGTATTTTACAAAATAACTACACTTTTAACTAATGCTAAAAAACTACCAACGGAAAAAATTCTTTTATTATGGATTTTCAAAGATCACAGTTTATCTCCGGAGAGCAACGTCATAAGAATCAAGGTTATAGCTGGTTATACATCTTTTTTCCTCTACTTTTCAATTCCTTGTTAAACAATGCTTAACTTTACTGGTTTTTGACACATTGCTGGTAAACCTTCATATATTACTATATATCTATTCTTCGATAAATTCTGCGAAATTATAACTGGGAAAATGTTATTCGGCAAAATGTCCCTTTGATCTATACCAAATTTAGCTTTTGAATTTTGAAAATGTTTTATAAACAACAATGAGTATATAATTATACAAATGAGATCTTTCAGAGCACCGTGTTTACCATAATTATATACTCATTGGTATTTATAAAACATTTTCTAGGTTATATTATTCTTTATTTATGTTATTTAAATTCAGAACCTAAATTTGGTATCGATCAAAGGGACATTTTGTCGAATAACATTTTTCCAGAATTTATCGAAAAATAGATAGTAATATATGAAGGTACGGGGTTAAAAAGGTCCACCACCAATGTGTCAAAAACCAGTAAAGTTAAGCATTGTTGAACAACAATATTTGAAAGTAGAAGGAAAAATATGTTTGTAACCTTGATTATTCTCATGACTTTGCTCTCGGAAATAAACATAGACAAACTAATGGGGTATATTGTTTGTATAATACCTCATTGTATATAGCATTCAGACAACACATCCTTATACACTTATAATATTAATTTTTTTGATTCTCTAGAAATTGTTTAGAATATACCTTAATTAACAACGTTTGCCGGGTCAGCTAGTATATATATATAAGAAGAAGCAAAAGGCTATATATAAAATCTATAATCTCAAGAAAATTTCTAATATCATACTGCTTGATATCAAGGTGGTCTAATTCGAAATCGAATTCGGAACTAGTGGTAACTGATCCACGTTCTTGATACAACATTATTAATAAATAACATTTACTTGTAACGTGGTGTCCACTTTATGTTTTCTTTGCAATCCTTGATCATCGTCAACCAGATCATCTAAAGCCGTTTCCGTAGCCAAACGGACGCTCGGGTTTTCTTTCTCAACGGCTTCCATACCGCGTCGCCCCCGATAGGCGTAACTAAATATACGCTCCATCTAAATATTTTATCATATAAAATTATTTATTAGTAATCGACAAATATGGTTTCACAAAAACATTAGTTAAAAAAAATAGAGCTTGCTAAAAATTAGGTCATTTATATTGCCATCAGAGATCAAAAGCTGAACAATAGAGCCAAAAAAAAACGATTGGAAAAATAAAGAATAACTATATCAAATATAATTTTAAAGTTGATAAAAATATTGTAAACGTACTACTAAAATTAGTTAATTTCAAACTAAAATTCGAAATATTTTATGTAGTTGTTCGAGGTTTTAAATACTGATGCAACTGGACCATGGATTAATGGAGAAAATACTAGGAAAAAGTGAATCATATACATATATTCAATGAAATTAAAATTTCAAAATATTTTAGGCGATATTTTGAATACTGATGCAACTGAACAAACTGTAACAAATTTTTTATTGAAATATCTAAGTAATTGAGAAAATACAAAAAAGAGTAATATAAACATATTTAATAAAATAACTTGTAGTTTTCTGCAAGCTCTAGGATTTACTATAATTATTGTATATTGACCGTATGTAAACATGCAAAAAAATAAAGCCAGTTCATGCTGTATATATGTAAAGCTAAATACGTATGTTTTATATAGAATTCAATCCACGGAAAATTTACATAAAAACATTTAAATCCAAAAATATTAATAAATAATAAATAAATGCAGAAGAACAAACATTCACAGAAAGACAAGTTATGTGAAATATTATTTCAAGCAGGCAGAAAATTGTGCATTGTGTAGGTGATACTTTATAGAATTACACAAATAGATAATCTGTAAAAATGTATATATATATATATATATATATATATATATATATATATATTTACAAAATGTTTTAAAATAATACATGTAATAAAAATCAGACAATTTTGGTAATCTTAATTCTGCAGAAGGTTTGGAATATAACTATTTTACGTCATTGTCAGTCGATCTACAATTTAAAAAAAATACAGCCAAATATAAAAAATCACTTTTCAAACTGCAGATTTAATAATTTGGTAGCTTTCTACAAAATATCGATGAAGATATTTCACATTAAATAATCTGCTTTTATCTAATAAACATTCGTATACAAATTATTCACTGGTTAACATAAGTATAAGGACACATGAATTGAAACTATCCTTTTGTCTTGAAGCATTTGAAGTGGATATGTGTAGAAAATGTGTTTCAAAGCTTGATTGGAAGACATATTTTTTGAATGGTACAGTATAATATTATTACACTCATTGTGCATTTATATACAAATCATTCAATAATTTCATTTACATTTAATAAATTTACGGTACCAATCCCAAAATATATTTCCCAGTATAACAAACTGTTAGATAAAATCGTTATGTATACTCGCATTTTTGCCAAACAGAATAAATCATTTCATCTTCCTCTTTCTCTACTCACAAGTGAACGTTTCACTACAACAGGTTCAATTTTAGCTTCAGCATTCTCAGAATCTTCGGAAACTTTCTGTTCGATTGATTTCTTCTTCAATTTTATCCTAGGCTTCACAATAAATGTAGCCATTTCCTTAGTGGAAACTAAGCTCAAAAGCTGTTTGGTAAGCAGGTCTTTTTCAGTATCATTAAAAATTATTGAATTCACAAAACCAAAATTCTGAAGCATCACTTGGCAATTCAAAACAGACACAAAAGCCAGCTCAAATGAATTTCGTTTGTTACTCATTAGTTTTCATTATTTGTTTCTATTGTTATAACAAATTATTGTTTTTTGCGCAATCAAATGACAAACGACTGAACAATGATTGAAGATTAATCGCAAAAAGCAACGTAAACATCATAAGGTACTTTTTATATATTACAACTGCACATGGTATATTTACAAAATACTGTTTATTGAAAATGATCTACCACATATTTTCATCGAAAACTTTACTTTAGCTAAGAATCCCTTGGTTATTCCATCTAAAACTTATGTCCTGATTCCAGCAATGATATACAATTGCTTTAAAATTAGGTATAAAATATACGTCAATTCAGCATTGAAAATAAAACATTTTTTGTCCCAAACATATTATATAAATTGCTACAATACATTTTCTAATAATGATAATTCTAAAACCGGCAGTTTATATTTTGACATATTTTCTAAAGTAAAGAGAAAACATCTAAATCAACCATATAGATCATGTATATTATTACTGATCTTTTTCTCAATAATACGAAAAAATATACTATAGTTACATGTTCCTCATCCAATTATTTAGCACATGACTCACTAGTTACCAATCAAATGTTTTACTGATACTTTTGTCAGACATATTGTACTAGTAGGATTAAAAACAAATCACAAACACTTAAATTATTCTACTAATATTAGTACGGATCGACTGATTACATTACACATATAAATTTTTGGAAAAATATTAGCATTATCATTTAGTCACAATCATTAGAAGTATGCAAAGATACACAGGGGTCTTTTGGGATACACAGGTGGGTTAATAAAGGATTAGCTAAGAGTTACTAGCAAGTTTGTAATATTTTTTTTATTCTAACACAAAGTTTGGTTATAGCTTTCAGTACTCAATTATACCGAGAAAATCTTAAAACTGTTATTATTTGGTCCGCCTTTAATATTAGATGCATATTAACATTTGGATTATTTGAATTTAGAATATAAAAATAATTATATTATAAACAATTATAATATTCTGAATATCTTGACGCTTATATAACTTATATCAAGTGTACGAGTAATGTTGAATTCAAATACATATTTTAGGTAACATTAATGTCATTGTTATATACGAACATATATTTTGAATATTATTCTACAATATTATTTCTCATTATATATTTTTATGTTCAATTTTCTGTCTCTCCATTTTGTATAATAAGACCGTTTCAGTTAAAACTAAATTATATAAAGAACTCTACATATTACATAATTTAACTAAGGTGCAAGTGGTTATTTGCGTTAAAGCACATAACAATTTTAAATTATGGTTAAGATCATAACCTTATCACAAAAAAGGTTTGATTAAAATTGGCAAAAAAAATAGTTAAATCATAAATTACAGAGAAACGGCCCGGCCGATTACCAAATACTAATAAGCACTATTCACAAATAATAGCTTTCAAACAGTTGTTTGATTTTTATAATTGTTAGATTTTTGGTTAGAACGCGGAAATTTTTTGTACTAATCTGCTAATTGCAAAGAAACGGCATGGCCGATCGACACGAAAAACTAATAAATGCAAGTCATTGTACAGCTGCATCGGATGGATTTAAATTTATTAAAAACGGTAAAGCTGTTTTTGAGAAAACCTCAGCGCTGTAATTTTGCCTCACATACCTACATTTTGGCAAACTGATATTAAACGATTTACAATCACTTAAAACGAGAAACAAAATCGGGAACAACTCATTCGGGAAGTTCAATAAAAATTTCCAAAATGTAATATTTTTCATTCAACTTATTATTGAATTAAAGTAATTGAGCATATTGAATATATAGTTGCAGTACCACTATCAGTAATAACCGCATTAATCAGAAAACGTATATTAAGTATCATTTAATAGTGAATAAATTAGATCGTAAAATTAAACTAATAACATCATCAAATGTAGTATGAAGATTTTAAAAGCTTTTTATTCCCAAACATTCACATTTACGGCGTCCTTAACGCTGATTTTCGGATTTACGACCGTGGGTATATTAAAAAGCGATTACAGCTATTTTGACGATCCTATTATCATTCAAGAGGAAGAAAATTACGAACCCTTCTGTTGTATAGTTCCGACCGACGTGAAAATTCTTTTCTAGGGTATATGGTAGATAATAAGTATGATGTCGTTAAAATTATATTTGAACCATAAACGATCTTTAGTGTCTATTTATTACGCCGTAAAAAATATTTCCATGTTACAAGAAGAGTAATAATTATTATGGCCTGAGACACATGAACGGATTCTGATAGATACTTTATATTACAGTTCAATTTAATTAATTAATAAATTAGATGATTATTAATAGTATTTAAGCTATGAAAAATTAGATGTATGTGTAAGTATACCTTCCGATATGTGTATATAGTGTATATAATCGGCGAATTAAAGTTCCGCAACTTTTAAAATTGTCACTATAAAAGTTTGAAATTTGACCTATGGAATTTTAAAATGTTCTTTAAGACCATGTCTCGTAACAAGTTAACTTCGTTTCTCAGCTGGTACCTCTCGATTAAATCAATTCACGATTTTTGGCGCAAGCTGAGTAATTCTTGGTAAAGTTTACCAAGAGGTTTCTTCGTAAATAATTATTGAAATATTTTTTTTAACAATTTTGATGAAACATTGTATTAAAATAAAGGTCTTAACAAGCGTTCGAAAGCCTAACAAAAATATTAGAATTCTCCGAAAAGTGGTTTAATTATAAAAAAATGTTATAGTTCGGAATATTAGTATCAAACTTTCAAAATTGTAGATAAAATTTCAAATGTTTCTAAAGATGTATCCTTATCGATTAAGTCGATTTATTCACACGTTTTGGCAAGTTCAGTGCAATGCAAAATGCCACTTGCAACTAGTTTATACTTTTGTACTGTATCCACTGAATAGTTTAAAACAAAAATGACTGTTACAAAATAATGACTGAAATGATAAAATACACTAATGAACGTTAATTTAATAATTAATTAAATATATTATAATTAAACACTAATCTTATATGACGATCTATATTATAGATTCTATAAAAACTATTTATTAATGTAATTAAAAAACAAAATTTGTGGAGGCTTAGTTGCAAATTGCTGGAACTTCCCGCACCGTAATGAAATATTCGATAAATACTGTAATTTTCATTATTCGTATTTAATAAACGAAAAATAAGAACTTATGAATTAGACGACGAAGTTGATATATCTTTACATGAAAAATACATAAATAAATCTACATGAAGCAGAGTTAGAATAAAGAATCTTATCTCATATTTCTAAAAATTATATAAACTGAATTGCAAAGTTAAGATTATTTATTTGAAGTATATAAGCGAGCTTGAGAATTTTATCTAGAATTGAAAGTAAAATCAGAGTCATTTTCGATATTCAAAAAAAATGTTTGAAAATTTTGAAATATGAAAAAAATACAAAAACTAATCAGTACGTTTCCCTCTCAGCAGCAGTCAAATGTTTTTTAAATATTTCAAATCGGTTGATCTACGCGCCCGAAATCGTGGATGAATTATTGCATTCACACAAAACACACACACACACACATACAACAATTTTTTCCAAGGTGTGCCAAAATATTCAGAAACCTCTAAAACATGAAGATATGCAAATAATTTCAAGGATGATTACTATAACTCGCCCCACAAGAAGTTAAAAGAAGTTATAGCTTCAGTAGATTTATAAAATTGTGCCTATAAAACAATAGTATAGATAAATATAGTATTTAGTATTATAGTATTGAATGAATATAAATAAAGGATCATGTGAATCAACCCCACGAACAATCATTACATGAATAAAGACAAAGAACGAAGAATTACGTTTAGTGTGGGACTCGCGGTAGTAAAATATAGTTGTCTCGAGTCGGTGTCTAGTATCACGGTCGTAAAATATTTATCTGTGAAGGGTTGGAAACTGATATCCTCCAGAAGTGGCCAACATAACGGTTGATTATTATATGTATTGTGTATATCTTATTTCAAAAGTATTATTCTTATGGGAATGAGAATTAATAAACGTGTACGGTTATTAACCCGAAGACGCAGATGACAAAAGAAACGCAGTCCCGTTTGGAAATTTCCTCGCACATGTTTATTGCAACTGGTAAAACCAACGAATCGTCAGGATAAAGTTAGTTAAATAAAACCAATGTTTATAATTAATATTTTTTTAATAAATCTTCAATAAATAGCATACTTAGCACATACTTCGTGTTAAATTCTCGTGCAAATACAATAATTATGGTTGCCTAAAAATTTGATAAAAGTAATCAAAAGATTTCCTCAAACTTTCTGGAGGCAAGCCTGGATAACTTTACAAATTTATAACTTCCCGTAGGGTAAGTTATTGTAAAAATTTTCAATTTCGATTTTCGGCCCATTACATTTCTCGACGTTTTGAAGGTTTCTGAACATTTTGGTATAAATCAGAAAAAATGGATGTGTGTGTATGTATGTATGGATACAATTTTTCGTCCACGTTTCGGGCGCACGGATCAACCGATTTGAATGGTTCGAAAAACATTCGATTAGTATTGATAGGGAGATGTGCTGATTAGTTTTTGGCAAAGGCAGGTCCAGCAGTTACGGAGATAAGAGCAAAGAGTACAGAAAATAGAAATCGAGTTTTTGAGAGAACGGAGTATCGGATTTGAATGATCTAAAAACCATTAAATTAGTAATGATTGGGAGAAGTGTTTATTAGTTTTTGGCAAAGGCAGCTGCGGCCTAGGCTCAGCCATTTCGAAGATACGGAGCTAAATGTGCAAAAATGGCAGTTTTTGAGAGAACTAAGCGTCCGACCTTAAATGATTCAAAGAACTTTCTGCTTGTCTTGACAAAATAATTGATTTTGAAAAAAAAAAATTGTTTCAACTTTTTTTTTCAATTTTTTTTTCGAATTTTTTTTTTGTACTCGCATATCGAAAATAATTCAGAGTTCATTTTTAATTCTGATTTATTCTAATTCTAATTTCTTCTAATATACTTTAAACAAATAATTTCAAATTTGCAATTCAGTTTATATAATTCTTATAAATATTAAACAATGTTACAATATTTATAATAATCTATTTGAAAACATTCAATATTCCTCGAACATTTCGTTACGGTACGGAAAGTACCAGCAATTTGCCTTAAGGCACGATGCCATTCACCCCACTAGTTATTTTTTATTTATCGCGACTGAAATTTGTGGACTTTTAATATACACATTATTGCCTAATATAAATATTTTTTTAATAATAAGAATAATTATAGAGAAATTATATTTCTTCAGAGATTTTGTACCTTTCCACTTATGTTATAAGCCAGTAACTCTTTATTTTACAGGATAGGAATTTGTAAAAATTATTATTATATTTTACCAAAAATAGGGATGCAAATATCAACAATTACAGATAACATATTGTGACACAACACATATTAAGAGGCAGATTATTAAGTAGGAATGAGAGCTTTTGACGAAATGGCTCACTTGCTTTTTCATTAGAGAATTATGAATATGTAAGATTTATTATCTATTTGTTATCTTATCATCTATCAGAATCATTTATGGGTTCGATTATTCATTTTAATATATTCAATTTTTCAATGTGTAATATATTATGTGAAATGAAATTAAATTTGTCAAAATCTACATAATTTTGAAATCGATCATTTGTTTCTATATGTATATAGGTATGCTAAAAAAGATGTCTCTCGAAAAATATACTGACAAGTTACAAAAGACAAAAGGTGTAAGACAAATAAAAATAAAAGTTTGAACATACAATAGTGTATCTAAAAATGAACAGATATCGCTACAACATTTACTAAATAAAGTGCAAGTAAGACAATTTCGTAAATTACCGCTCTTCATTGAGATAGGAAAAGTTTGGATGCAGGCAGATAGGAACACTCACTGCTTTTCTAGTTCCTTCATCCAATTCTCGATCTTCCATTGAACCACCCAGCAATCTTCTGATCTGCAGAAAATTTATACAACACTTTCGGCTAAATAGCGCCTTAAGTTAAAATAATATCCTTACTATTTTAAAATTGGTTCAATACTTAATTTGGGCAGTTAACAATTGTCGTAAGCGGAACTGCCCCTGTGGATCTTGAAGTATCGACAATACAAAAAGTAACAACGAGCATTATATATATTGTATATTGCTAACGTTTCATTTAAAACCAGTGATTTGAAAAAAATGTTAGAACCGCTAGCGATATAAATATTAACAATGCATCAAACATGAAATATTTCAAACCCTATAAACCACAATTATACATTTAGATATTACGCTTCCACTTATAATATTATTATTTATTTAATTTTCTACTGGCATAAATTTGAGACGAAATACTTTTTTGTAACTGTGCAGAGTGGTGCTGCAGCCATAAAGAACCAAAATCATGCAACATCTTAAGCAAAATTCATGCCAACTTGAATTTACTAATCAAAAATTTAATAAACAATTAAAACCGAATAATTGTGTAGGAAAGAGTGAAATCTTAAATATAAATGTTATGTTATATAAATAATAAAGAGAGTGAAATGTGAAATTTAATTTAATTAATATAAATAACATGAATTTTATGTCATATTATAAAATGAACCAAATCTTCAAACTGATAAACATAGCATCTAAATGTAAAAAATATTTATTTAAATAAAAATGTTAAAACTATGAAAAAATCATATATTCAATTATTATAACAACGTTCGAATCCATTCAGTGCCAAGAAATTAGAAGCATTTTCCAAAACTACACACAGGCTTTAGAATAAAAAAAATGTAACCATAAATTCACATATGTAAATAACATTTATGTATGTAATTGCAACTAAATTCTGTAAATACAAATCGTAAATCTGTCCTTTAGCAATAAGTGCATAATATTTTTTCGTGTTTTGATTACTTGACCAATTCATTTGGTATTTAATTTCATGTAAAAATAATATAACAATTTAATTTATTAGTAAAAAAACTTCGCTAAAAATAAGAATATAATATTGATAACATATTAAAGTATGTACTTATACTGTATAGGAAAAAATGTATAAAATATAAATAATTATACTCAGAATGAGTAGTAGTATTGGCATCGAATGGATTATAAAATCTCAGTTTGAAGATTAAATACCACTATGAAGATGATTGCAATGAAAAGTTTAGAAAATATATACTAATAAATGATACTTACAAAATATATTCTCGCTTACCACTAAAAATTCCATTTTATCCACTCTTTGATTACCATCGGTGTCGAACATATTAAATGCTATTTTAAATCCTGATTGTGGCTCTGAAAAGGGAAAATATTAAGAAAAAATACTAAATTGTTTATTAAAAAACTGATAATGCCATTACCGAGTTATTAATTATTGCTGGTATTATTTAATTTACTTACTTGTTAATATAGAGAGCAGAAATAAATATTCCGTGTAAGATATTATTCCTGAAACCAAATAACATAATAATAAGCTCAAATAATTATTATTGAACTAAACTTTGTGAATAAGTTTAAAATCCAATTAAATCCAATCAAATTCCTAAATTTTGTATCTTATACTAGTAACAGTAATAGAAACTAATACTAATCTATCTATGAACATTACAAATCAAGATGTCATATCGAAATTAATTTTGTAATTGAATTAATGCTGTTAATATGGTATTCAAGTCTAGAGTCATGAACTTTATGCAATATTTTAAAGACTGTGAAAAAAGAGGCAAATAATATTTTCATATATTTTTTATTTTTTATGTAGTTTTAATTCTAGAAGGTGATCTCAAAAAATTGACGCCTGACCTCCAAATAAACCAAAGAAGAAAAAAGATATTATTAATCTAGAATAATGTCGCTATAATATCAACTACGGACAAGTTAAAATAATTGTTTTTCGCTAAATAGCGGCTGGTAAACAATATATTTTTATTACAATTTTGATATTCTCGAATTGTGGAATTTGTGGATGATCGTACTGACTTCAGCTCACAGTGAAAAAAATGTATAAAAAAGAATAAAAATTTCAAGTAAATTATTAGTCAAGTACAATTTGAGAAATCGTGGGTATCGTATCGAAAAAGGCAGTTTCGAGAAAAATGCGATTAAAGTTTCGCAATGGGAAGAAATAGCAGAGTTTAATCGTGGTCGAACCAGATATATCTCCAAAAATAATTAAAATGTTTACAAATCATCTTGTATAGATATTTTTTTTTAATTCTAGACCAGAATACGCCCTGTAATTTAAATAAGTCTTTCATTTGAATAATAATTCCTTAAACTTAACTAAAACTATTTAACATAAACTTTATATGAATATGCATATCACACATGAGTTAATAAAATAAGTAAATTGATTAAATATCTATGAAATGTAATTGTTTGTCATTAAGTAAATGTAATGTAATTCCTAACTTATTGTCAAGAAAAGCAAAATTTGTACTTTCAATGTTTATAAATCATGATTACTAAGTTAATTATGGTAATGTACATATCAATTAACCATATGTATATTAGGGTGGTCCTTAAAATGGTCATTTTCGAATTTTCTTGCTCCCAGGGGCTCGAATGGTTCGAAATAGATAAAAAACAATTCTCTGGAAGATTTAGCTCTTAATATTAACGTTTAGATAGAGCGCAATTCAATCAAAGTTTTGTATGGAAATAGCGTGGAAAAATTTTCAAAAATTTTAAAAATGTTTTTTAGATGTAATTTAGCGAACAAATGAATGAATAAAACTTATTCATTTGTCGCTAAGTTATACCTAAAACATTTTTTTGAAATTTTCAAAAATTTTTCCATGCTCTTTCCATACGAAGTTTGATTGAATTGCGCTCTATCTAAACGTTAATATTAAGAGCTAAAACTTTCAGAGAATTGTTTTTTATCAATTAGGAACCATTTGAGCCCCTGGGAGCAAGAAAATTCGAAAATGACCATTTTAAGGAGCACCCTAATGTATATATTATCAGTCTATAATATTTATATAATGCTTACTATAAATTACGTAGAGAATATACATAAATATTCAATATATATATAACTGTTTATATTAATTGTTTCATAAAAAAATTTAATCCATTTTAGAATTAATAAAGAAAACTTATAAAATTTTACCTTATCCTGTAAAATTAGGATTTAAAAATATGTTAATTGTTTCGTCAAAAAGAAAGTAATATAAATTAATTTCAGAAGGAATATTTTTTTCAATAAAATTTTACCTTTTTCTCTAAGGTTCCTAAACATCTGATGGGATCCTTTTTTGAGCGTAGGCGTCGAAGATTTAAGCGCTTGAACCTCCGACAAAGTCAGCTGTCGACGCTTCAGACGGGCTGCGGATTAACGGCGGAAAGTAATGGCAGAGTAAAGTTTAGACGATGTAGTGCGAAATAAATCTTAATAGACAAGCATTTATTTGCCCATGATCGAGACATATATTACACCCGTAAAGCACACAAATAACTACAAAATCAACGAGCAAACATCCAAGTGAATAATTACATTTTTTATTGAATATTTGAATAAAATAACTACAACTAAATCAACTAGCAAACACTGCAGTGAATAATTGCGTTCTTTGTTGAATTTTATAATAAAAAAATCAACTAAATATATTGATTTAATATTCCTTATTTTAATTTACTCAGAAGCAAATTGCGCTAAGTAATTAATGATATATATTAATGCTATGGTGTAATTGATGTAAGGAGTAAATAAAGAATAAGTGAAAAATAATTTAATAACAAAATTGATAATAAAATCTTCTATTTTGTTGCCAAACACTTGTAATAACCTGTCACTGATTCTAATATTTTAATTAAGAGCAGATTCAGCAAAGTACAAAAATATTAGGAAAAATAACAATTGGTTTATGACCAACAATGAAGTAGTATATCCACGGGAAAATCATATTTTATGGAAATGAAGTTTTTTATGTTTATCTGTATAGTGAGATTATTAAAATCGATACTAAATTTTTTTGTTGTTATTTAATCTAGGTTGTATTTATTATTTTAGATTGTATTGAGTGCTTTATTTATTGTGTTCACCTTATCCAAAAAATATAATCAGAACAATCTTTCATGTCTTTCATGTATAAACATTCTATTTTATTTTATTTATGTTTGTTTATAAAAATTTTGACGATATATGTAGCTTGTTTATCCGAATAAATTTGTAGTGTCTCGACTATTTATATATATTTTTTAATATAATAAAAAAATGTTAAGCCTAGAATCTTCCAATTCACTGTCTAGAAAATATTGTAGCATATCAATGTGAAAATCATATTTCATTAAAATGAAGTTTTTTATATTTATCTGTATAGTGAGATTAATACAATTGATACTAAATACTTACTTATAATATTTTTTAATGTAGTAAAAAAATATTAACGTAACGTAACGTAAGTTTAGAATCTTCCACCTCATTGTCTAGAAAATCTTAGGATGTCATGCACAAATTGATTGTCAAATTCAGTTATACAAAAATACAATTTATGTTGAAAAATGATAGCTAATTATATCTAATGTTCTCTTTATTGATTTATTTAGTTAAATATTTTTCCGAAAAAATCCAGAATAATTGCCTCTTATGAATCAAGATCTTGACGATAATTTGTGACGTAAATGTTTAAATGAATTAATAGCATTTCTGCATTTATGATTTTTTTTTGATATAGTAAAAAAAATTAACTTACGTCTAGGATCTTGTTCCACCACACTGTCTAGAAAATCTTGTGGTGTCATGTACAATTGATTGTCAAACTCCGTCGATGCAAATCTGATAAATCTTCGCTCTCTTGCAGTTAATTTGGTTGCTTGCTGTAATTGCTCGTCCTTAAAGTAGAGAAAAAAATTAAATTTAGGATAAAATTCATTAATTTTAATATTTCAATCGCAAAATATCATCAATATAAAAGGAATCATTTATCACATTACTTAGTCTTGAATTAATTAGTTAATTGATAAGAAAGATAACATTTCCGAATTTACAAACATTATGCAGTAGTAAACTGCATTAGACTAAGTATTTATGTAATTAAAATAATTAAAACACACAGATTAATTATAAAATTATAGTTTATACAGCTACTATTAGTGTAAATCTATGTCCTATTCTGCTGTATAATTCGAAAAAAAAATCACTTATAGCTTATTATTATTAAGGACCACCCTATTTTGACACATTTTACAATTTATTCTAGAAAAGGTCTCTACCATATTCTTTTAAGTATAAACAATATATAATTAATCATTTAAAAGGCAGCAAAAATCCTTTTAAGATCTTATCAGTACTCAAGTGAGCATTTATTTTGTCGTTTACGACTTTGCAACGAGGTGCACTCAAGATTTATTACAGAACTTGGTGAGTTTTATTACAAATTTGGTGCCGTTACAATGCGCCGTTTAAAATAATTTATATCAGATGCTATACCTACACAAGCCCGGTATGGCACAATTAATCAAAAAATAAAAAAGATAGTAAAAAAAGAGAAAAATCCCTTGTTATCTGATTGTGCCAGTTGCAGAGAGTGTAAATGTAATATACTAGAACACCAGGTAATGATGCAAGCAACCCTTGGTAATCATTATAAAAAAAAACCCGGCTTGTCACGACACGGTCCTAGTTGGAAATCAGATCGAAGATAAGAATGTAATTAAATAAATGATTTCAAAATAGCCAAAATTTGTGCCATGTGAGTTTTTGTCAAATTCAAATCGAAAATCCAATTTACTCTAAGAATATTTGTATACAAATGCCAAATAACAATGTTATCGTAAGTGCAACAATTTGCTATCACTTACGATAACATTTTTTTAAATTATATTATTATTAATATTATTATTTATTATAGATAATCAGAAAATACAAATTTCTATAAGCTTCCACCATCGAAATGCCTTTGTAGATAATAATCTATGTTTAGTAAAATGAGCTGTGCTTAAAGTTAGCAGGTCTCAGACTTTTTTTTTTAGCTTTCCAGTTGGAGAATGTTATTTGATTAATTGCATATCTGGATTTGTATGTTGGTCTAATTTGATATAGTATGAGTTGCTTCTATGATAATAAACGCGTGAAGTAGAACTAATGATATATTCCAAAGTATGTGCCATTTGGAGGTTAGGTTTTAAAAGTTGATATATTACAATTACTGATTAAATTAATATTATACAACTGATTACATTCTTCTCACACAAAAACTCAAATCTAAGGATGCGTATGGATGAGAATATTAAATTATATATTTTTATTTTTTCTCATAGAGGCGACTATTTTTTAGTATCTTCAGAATAAATTCACTACATAATTTCAGATTTTTTTTTAAATTGAAAATAACATTCTTCGAATATCTTGATCAAACTACTCACATATTTGAATACAAAATTTAGTATTACTTAACAGTGATTGTAGTATTACTTCCATACAAAATTATTATAAAAATGCATAATATTGAAAATATAATGTCACATTCTTCGAATGTCCCTGCCATAGAACTAATATATTTGAATATTGAAATTTATATTGCGGAGATTAAATTAATACCATATGACTAAATCGATTATATCATTATTTTCAATTAAGCGTTCAATTATTATGAAAATGAATATAAATGAAAATTCCATATATGAACTGGATGACTTTTAAAGGCTAGAGACTGTAGAACTTTCCAGCAAATTCATTTATTTCTTAACTGCACAAATTCAGACATAGTTTTAATTATAATATTCTTCGAATATGTCAGTCATAATACAACTAAAATAGTTATATTATTCTTCTCATTTATTGTGCATAATTTTGAAAATGTATCACGATCATAGATGACTATTTTTAGGAGCTTCAAAATACATTCACTTGATAAATTTCGTGATATTCAAAGAACAACACGATACTATAAACACTATTATGATAATGATCTCGAAAAAGTGTGATATTCAAATGCCATCCACACGACTTGGAACAATAAAAAGCCTTACGGCGATCAATTATTAGATTAAAGGACCGCTTTCTCTTCTAGAATTGAAATAATATATAGCGCCACCCTTATGTTTATTGTGTTACAGTGACCGCGACCAGATCCCAAGATGAACGCCCGAGATAAGATTTCGGCATGGCTTATACTAATAAAATACCCCGAAATAATATTTAACTTATCACAGAGTAAAATTCAGCCGAATATATAAATGAGAAACTATTTTATATAATTGTGTTTCACGGAACTGTTACAAAACTTTGGAAATGTGCAATAAAAAATCGTTGTGTAAGCCCGTGATTCAACATTTGCAAATTGGTGTAATACTATTGGTGTAATACGCTATTTCTCTTATCAGGATGTTATTACAATAAGCATAATAATAGCAAGTTAATAAAAAATATATATCAAGTTTGCATACTTGGTCAGATAATTTTTTAACGTAGAAAATATGAATAGATACCCTCATCTCCGGATTTCTTTAGCGAGTTATAGTCTACAATTAAATAGTCCAGAGGAAATGTATAAATTATTATTATTTTTATTTTATTTTTTTTTTGTCAATCAAAACTTTATTCAAAGTTTTATAATACAAAATTGTTGAGTATATAAAAAAATAATTAAGCATAAATACAAAAATATAAATGTAAATAACAGAATATTAATAAAATAAAATTACAAAATATTGAAATAATAATCTTAACAATTATTTTTATATGAGTTAAAGTAAGCATTATGAAGAGCAAGAATTAATGATCCAATTAATATTTAGGTACATACATATTAAGTTTTGTCATTTTTATAAAATCTATGCTAAAATATAATTATATTTTATAGAACTGTTTCAAAAACTTTTTTTAGATATTTCTATGATAAACGCATTGTAAGAGCGCATGACCCATTATTTGCTAGCTAGGAAGCCTCTAGCTTTTTTTTTTTAATTAATATATTTTGAAATACCACTGATTACATTTCTGTGACAAAGATGAAAAGATGATATGACTATTCTTCTACAGAATCCAATATAATTATTTTCCCCAACACATAATTATTTGTTCATTAGAACTAATGTTCATTATTTCACAATCATTTTCTAGAAAAAGTTCAGTGTTACGACTTATCCCTTGTTTATGGCTAGTTGTTACTACTTGCCCCGGCAGATGTTACAACTAGTAACATCTATCGGGGCAAGTAGTAACGACAAAAAACGACAATATTACCTCCGTTAAATTATTCATTTTGAGAAAATTGACATGTTGCTAAGTAATTCTTTTCATAAATCAACGAAAACTATAATTAATACACATAAAAAATATGGTATGGCTGCAATTAATACAAATAAAGGATGTAGTGACTCGTGTAACAAAATTTACATGTGCCCAGAGCTTACAATCTATGCATTTCACCCAATTATCTTCACTTGAATGTGTATATAACTTCTGCAAGTTTCAACTAACCCCAGCCGTGATTTCTTTACATTAATCGAAATAGCAATCGCAAAATTGTTGAACAATATCAGAAATTGATATATTTGAAGTAAATTAATAAATAAAATTCAAAATTAGTCGATAATAATAACGCAAACCGAAATTTTATGATAGTATTTCATGTCAAAACTGACGGACCTGCACAATTCTGTACACTGCAAAGGCCTGCGAGACAGAAGCTATGACATTAATATGCAGAACGGTTTACATTCCCAATCGAGATAACAAATTTAATATCGTTTAAAATCCCATTAAAAAGCGCCTGTTACTATTTACCCCTGTTACATAAAACCATGAAGAATAAGACTAATTACTTATTATATACTTATTATACCCATTTCTATCAAAGAACTTTATATACTTTATATACCCATCATTGTATTCCTTCACACCATTTTTAACTGCAACCCTCACAATATTATAAACTACTACTGCTATTATGTTCAATTCCAATTATAATTGTAGAAATTTTAAACTTTAGGATAAAACAGACTTAAGCAAAAAATAATTATGGCTCAATTTAAATTTAAGTAAAAAACTTTCATTTAGACTTGGACGAAATGAGATGCGAAGAATTCTATTTTACATGTTTTGATTATTCTCTAAATGATTAAGAATAATTTAAAACCAAATTCTTAATTTGTAGACGGTAGTAGTATTATATAGTATTATTTGACATCCCCTATTAATATATTGAAATATATTCATAGCACTTGATACTATCAACACATCTCGAGGCGCGTAATAGACAATTAAACTCCTTATAATAATAACGCATGTTTAATTAACGACGATGTTTGTCGCTCTACACGTCGGTATTTTCTCAGTTTTAATTAATTAAACAGAAGTGAACGAAGTAATCGAAGTAATGGATAAAAACTATCTACATATATAGTTTTTGTATCAACAGAGATGTACATCGGACTAAAATTAATGTACATCGCCAACTTGGAATAAAATATTTCTTTGAATATATGAATTTATCATCGGAATAAAATTCCTTGAGCCGTAGCATAAATCAAGAAATAATTTACAATAATGAGACATTATGCTTCATATGAGATAATCATTGCCGTGTTTGGTTTTAGTATAAAATATAACCCCGATTTCCGATAGCAACAACCTTAATTGAAAGCTTTCGATTTATTGATTGGATATTATTATACCCTTATATTAAAAACAGCAAATATTTTACATACTTACGACAATGTAAAAGTAAACGTAAACTAGTGGGGTGGGTGGCATCGTGCCTTAAGGCAACGAAACGTACCGTAACGAAATGTTCGAGGAATATTGAATGTTTTCAAATAGATTGTTATAAATATTGTAACATTGTCTAATATTTATAAGAATTATATCAACTAAATTGCAGAGT